ATCGTTCCTGAACCTCTGCTGGAGGGAGAGGTTCACTCCGTTTTCTACAAAGTCTTTATTTATATAGCATTTTTATATTTTTCAGTGCTTTGCAAATAGAAATATTTATTTGCAGCATTTCTTAGGGTATGCAATGGCTACAGATAACGTTTGTATTATTTTTACCTGTGTATTCAGTTTCATTTCCCTCTGTCTTGATTCTAGGAAGTTTCTGTGGAGACTTTATTGCAAGCCACAGGTCTGTCCCGTGTCCTCCTGAATCAAGCACTGAAACCTCTAGTGAAGGAGAATGGGATCCTCTGCCAGAGTCAGAGTAAGTATGGGAGGGCTTCCACTTACATGGTCTATTTAAGAGTTTACAGGAAGGAGGGGAACTTGATCCACTTGAGAGGTTAGTCTGAGTGGGTAGATGGGACACTGGCTTCCCAGCAGTGCAGGAAGCACTTGGGTTTGACCTGACTACCTAGAGCAGCATTTCTCAACCTGGGTGGGGTGGGGTGGGGTGGGGTGGGGGGGTTGTGAGAGGATTTCAGAGGAGTCACCAAAGTCCATCAGAAAACATACATTTCTGATGGTCTTAGGAACAAACCCCTTTGGCAGAGAAGGTGAAGATCTCTCTGCCTGTCCATCTCTTCCTTTTTGGAAATGAATGGCGAATTCTCCCACCAAAAACCCTCCTCCACTGTGATTGGCTGGCCTCTCAGCCAAGGGGAGGGCTGTTTCTGAGACTCTCAAGTGGGGAGAGGGATTAGGCATGCTCGGTGCATGGCAGCATCGTGCACGTGTATGGGCAAGGGAGAATGTGCAAGTCTGGAGGGAGGCTCCCACCAGCGAGTCCCTTCAAGTTCTGTGTAGGAAGTTTGGCCCAATTCTATCATTGGTGGGGTTCCAAATGCTACTTGATTGTAGATGAACTATAACTCCCAGCAACTACAACTCCCAAATGTTAAGGTCTGTTTCCCCCAAACTCCACCAGTGTTCACATTTGGGCATATTGGGTATTCATGCCAAGTTTGATCCAGAACTATCATTGTTTGAATCCACAGTGCTCTATCTGGAGGTAGGTAAACTACAATTCAAAACTCAAGATCAGTGCCCACCAAACCCAGTATTTTCTGTTGGTCATGGGAGTTCTGTGTGCCAAGTTTGGTTCAATTCCATCATTGGTGGAGTTAAGAATGCTCTTTGATTGTAGGTGAACTATAAATCCCAGCAACTACAACTCCCAAATGACAAAATCAATCCCCCTAGCCCCACCAGTATTCAAATTCAGGCATTATCAGGCATTTGGTTCAAATTTGATCCAGTGAATGAAAATACTCCTGCATATTATTTACATTTCCGTTTGTGACAGTTAACAAAATTATTTTTGGGTTGGGGGTCACCACAACATGAGGAACTATATTAAGTGGTCACGGCATTAGAAAGGTTGAGAAACACTAGAGAGTGGAACTAAGATTTCCCAGTCAGGTCTTCCAGCTGTCAACTTATGCTGGGAATCTCAAGGATCTTACATGTTTTTTGGTTCTAGGTATCTTGAAGCTGAATCAAGCCCAGCTGTTTGGCCAATCCTTGTGGCTGTTGCCTAGACCAGAGTACCTGAATGTAGGAGGAGATGAAGGCCATGCTTTGAAGAAAAAGAGGGACATCATCTGTTCCCTTCTCACCCAAATCCTGAAAGAGGAGAAAGAGATCCACATTGACAAGCTCTTGTTCAAGGTAAGGGAGTCTTCTCTGTAGCTCAGTCCAGCTGATAGCTCACCAGATGTTTTATTTCACCCACACTCTCTGCTTCTCCCAGGTGATAGATGCCTATCGGAAAAGGGAGCAATGCCCTACACCAAAGCTCGCGAGTGTCTTCTGCAGCAGTGCTGATGTCCTGTCCTGCATCCTGCACTTACTGAACCGGGGCTCTGCCCGACGGCAGGAAAACCATCCCGAGATCTTGGAATATGTCTCCACAGAGTGCTCAACCCCGGCCCTGCCAAAGAACCAACCTCAGGCCACCTTTCAAACTGTACAGATCAAAAAAGTATCCAATGTGCCCCCTGTGGAAAAGAGACAGACATTCTCTACATTTAGGTAGAAGTGGTTACTGACTTGGTGTGAGTGGCTATCTGAGAGGGCCCTTTTTGTGGCTGCCTGTGCTTTTCAGTGCCTCATGGCCGCAGAGATCTTCCTTCCTCATTGTACTAGTTTAGAAATTATGATTGTAACAAGGAGCCGTGTGGGGACCAGTAGCATTGCAGTGAGCGTAGCCAATTCCTTCCTGGGAAGAGAAACAGAATGAATTGTCCTTGCAAGTGGCAATCTCCCAGAAGGTGGATGTTGTCCGTGAACCAAGTGACCTGTGTTTCTGTTGCTGGACTGCAGTGCACCTGCCAGCAGTTGGCACATTCTTCAGTGCCATGGAAGACAACAGGAACAGCCAAAGCCTTTCCAAAATGGAAAGAATACCTTGTGTTTATAAAATACAGACATCTGCCTTATTTTGAAACTGGTGCAGAACATGGCAATTTTGTCTTTTCCTTTACATAGACTTCTTAACAAATGGATTATGGCCTTCCCCCTACCACAGGGCACAATCTCCAAGTCATGCCTGCAGTTTTGCAGAGGGGCAGCTCCCATCCATTGGTATGCTGATCCTGTTGCAGAATAAGGGTAGCACCTAATTGTCACTCCAAACGCTATTATTCAGGCTGCTTCTGGCTTTTTATAATCTCTCTCTTATTTCTTCAAAGTCTTCTCTTTGGTCAGTGAGGAGGGGCTCCCTTAGCACTCTCTGTTTTCAACACCGTCTTTCCCCTTTTCTGTAGACATCTAGTGTAAGATGTGTTCATCCTGCCTGACGGGTTGGAATTCAAAGACATAATTGTGTTAAGTCTGGAATATATGTATGCAAATGGATCTTGTAGCACCTCAGAGACTAACTGAGGGAATAGAGCTGGTAGCATGAGATTTTCTAGACAACGTCTGCTTCCCCAAGCGTCGAAAGAAAGGCACTTAAGTCTATGAAAGCTAATGAGTCCCCTTGGGGAGATAGGGTAGGATATAAAGCTTATATTATTAATATTAACAATAATATTATTATTATTAATAATAATAATAATAATAATAATATATTATTATTATTATTATTATTATTTAATGCTTTGTTCTCAGCCTCTAAGGTGCAACAAAATCCCTTTGCATACAGTCATATTATTTATCAGCCTAATAAATGCAATTTGGGAGGGACTAAATGGAAGGAATCTGTAGGGTAGAGTGAAAAGGTGACACCTTTCCCTTTACAAGGAAAGTAATAGCCTTTGAGAAGACTTCAGCCTGCAACAAATAATTAGAACTGACCAGAAGAGGTCAGTGTTGGTTGTATATGTGGAATTAGTTGCTACCATCAGTTGCCTTCCTGAACTCTTAATAAAAAAAAATTAGAAGCCTGCTTTTTCCTTAAGCATATTTAGCATGTCAGTCCATTTGGTACCTACAGGTGCAGAAGAGCTATATGTTAGTGCATAGTTTTGTTTTTGTTTTTTTTTCTGTGTCAAGAGCGACTTGAGAAACTGCAAGTCGCTTCTGGTGTGAAAGAATTGGCTGTCTGCAAGGATGTTGCCCAGGGGATACCCAGATGCTTTACCATCCTGTGGGAGGCTTCTCTCGTGTCCCCACATGAAAAGCTGGAGCTGACAGACAGGAGCTCATTCCTCTCCCTGGATTCAAACCACTGACCTGCCAGCAGTCCTGCCAGCACAAGGGTTTCACCTATTGTGCCATGGGGGGGCTCCAGTACATAAAGTTGGTGAAATCTGTGCATGAGGGGTCAACAAGCATGTAAAGATCTCTAGCAGGAAAGAGATGTTTAGAAACTTGCACTTTTACCCATAGTTACAGGAGCAAAATTTGTGTTCCTGGATGTTGTGGTGGACATTCCTAAAGAGCAGAGCTTCTCATCCATTGGTACTTCTCATGTTACTCTATACATCATGTTTCCCTCTGCTAATCTGTGGCATACTTAAAGCACAACTACTTCCCTGACATCTCAATCCCTTCCAGAGGCCCGTCGCTAATCCTAGTCCAAGGCCAAGATCCTGCATCACAAACATTGGTAAGAATACTTAACTTAAATACTTAACTATTGGTAAGAATACTTAACTATCTCCTCACTCTTAATAGTCAGCCGTTGTACTGAGGTCTGTTTTGCTGGTGATCAGGGTGCAGCATGTTGTTGTTTACAGCTCATCCCATCAGCAATCTGCATTGGGATGAATAGTTGCAACAGGGACCCTGTTTCCAATTGCTGCAGGATTCCTTGTTGGTTGGAAGGGTTGGGAAAGGAATTTGGCTGTGCTCTGGTCACCAGAAGGACCCGTACTTGGTGTGGCAGCTGGTTGTTAAGATAGGTTTGAGGAAGGGGCATCTGCCATTATGGTAATAGCATGCATTAATATGAATACTGAAGAGTTATGAATGCACAAGTCTAACTTCCACATTCATAACTGCTTAATATGACTGAGATCTATATGACAAAGAGTTCTTGACTTAAGCAAAGTAGCTCAGAAATTCCAACCACAAAGCTTGTGTCTGGCATAATAGCCACCTGCATATTGCTATTCTTCTCTGCACCATGTCTGAATCCTCCACTTGACTTCATGACACACGTTGGACTACAAGTCGTATTTATCTTAGCTGGATTTTTGTGTTCCCAGAAGAGGCCTTTCTGGTAGCATATTGGATCTGCCCTCACTGCAAAGTGTTCCTTCATAACACTTGACACCCCCTTCATTTTCAAAAGTAGTTTGCCATATGGCAGGAGCAAAAATGACTGCAGCCCTGCTTGCCAGTGGTGATGGACCACTTCCCCATTCATGCTGTCCAATACATGCTCCAGGCTGGGGATGGCTGGGCAGATGTTTTAACCCAACCAAGTTTATAGAGTGTCATTCCTTTAGAGGTCAAACACCACATTTTGACTTGACGCACAAGACCATGCCGACACACTCAAGTCACAATGGTACCAGCATTAATTTATTAAAATTAATCCAGAAAGCAACCTTACATTAAGTTTTAACAAAAATAGAATCTTGTAAAAAATGGGGTTAACCCACCATCCCTGCTCTCCTAACCACAAGCAGCTGTGTCCGCCGCACAGGCGCAACACCACAGTTTAGGTCTCTTGAGTTCGGTAGGATACACTTTCAAGGCAGGGGAAGGTTGGCTTGGCAGTTCTAATGACACAAGCTTCCAGGTGGGTCAAGGCCCTGGCCGTGAAGCCCGTGTGCTTCAGGAGTTAGGAGGAGGGAAGGGGACGCTTGTGAATCCAGTGAGGGAGGGCGAGGAGGGGCCAGTAGCTGCCACAGGAAGTCTACCCTTAGGACACCTTGCTGCATTCACTGGTTCTTATGTTCTAGTTCCCTTGTTCAATAGGAGGACTTAAAATAGAGCAGGAGAGTGGGAAGGATACTTCCTAATCGCACCTCCCTCCTGTCCTGCCTGCCACTGCATCTGACCCTGCCAACGGATCTCACGCCTTCTTTGTGAATCTGACATGGCACAAGGAACCTGATACTGCAGTGCAGTGAAGGTAGAACTTGGGTCCACCTCCATATCTGAGGACTACTTGCAGCCCTGTAGCCACCACGCTCTTGTCTGGGGAGAGTGCAAGTAGGGCTGACTACTGTTCAACGACTCATTAGTTGGTTTCATCACAAGTACATGCCTTTGCAATGCAGTGAAGAAAGAACTTGGGTCCACCTCCATAACTGAGGACTTCTTGCAGCCCTGTAGCCACCACGTTCTTGTCTGGGGAGAGTGCAAGTGGGGCTGACTACTGTTCAATGACTCATAAGCTGGTTTCATCACAAGTACATGCCTTTGCCGCTGGGGCCCTGTTTGGCCTGGCACCTGCAAGAGCAGTAGCTCTCTTTATCACCGTACCCAGACAACTGCAGTAGGGAAGTAGACTTATTCCTATTCTTTAATAGACCTTTTTGTGTTCTGCTTTCTTTACATCCTCCATAAAAGCTACAGCAGAAGAACTAGGGGAGAAACACCTAACCTCTCCCTCCTTCTCCCTTCATCGCCTTTGTTGCTTAGAGCAAAATTTCTTTCCCATTCCACTGGAAGGGCCTTCGGTCTTCTATGGTTCTTCCTTTCACTGTAGCTCAATAATCCTACCTGCTGTCAAATCCTGGACCAAACGCTATCCTAAACTGGCCATTGGTATGCCACCTCCCTATCTTGTGCTCACAGCTGATGGATGAGGGAAAAACAACCCCTCTGTTACCTTTCACGAGAACATAGGGAAGCAACGTAGGAACGACACAAAATACTCACGGACACCCCCCTGCTCCACAAGAACAGGGTCTGCTGCAGAAACAAAAGTGGCACCTGCCTTTGCGGCCATCGCTGTACCTGTTGTTTTAATACCCTGGCCCACGCGTATCCAAAGGCAGGGAAGCCAAACAGGACTGGGGAGGGCTGGACAGGAGAGACAGGGGAAGGCTGCTTCATGTTAAAAGACAACAAAACCCCAGTAGCCCTCGGGTAGATTCTGAGAGAAAAAGAGACAGAGGACTGCAGAGTGGCACTTGTGGGCAGAAGTCCAGCTTGCCCAGAACGCTACTGGGTGAACCTGGATGAGCGATCCTAGGAGGAGGGCAATAACACACATTTCAATAAACATATTAGAAGATCGCCGTTTGTCCCAGAGACCCTGCTTTTCCCTTTCTTGCCCAAGCCAGCCAGGCAAGGCGTGGAAGGGAACTGAATCTCAGCTGCTGCGAGGAAAACACCTCGTAGTTGAAGCGGGGTGCGGCTGTATGAATCCCCTCGGCCTCTTTATTCCTGATGCCACTTGGACATAGAAAACCAGTCTGACATTCTAGTTACAAGAATCCAGGTTGAGAAGCTGTGTATGTATGTGTGTGTGTGTCTTCCTTTCATTTCCTAGGACCCACTTTCACATTAAAACTAAAAAAACAAAACAAAACAGGTGAGACGTAAAGCAAATCGGGATGCTCCTTGCACCGAAAAAAAAGGAGCAAGCGAGGCCCTGGCCAGACTTAGTCTCCAGCACTGGGCAGTCAGTCAGTCATTTGAAATCCAAGAAGCCCGACAGTCTCTCTCCTCTGTCATTCAGTCTGGCAAAGCCCTGGGACTTCCAGAGGCTGCCTGTTTGTTGTTGTTGTTGTTTTTAATCACACACTTTTTGTGTAGCCAAAGATGCCGATCGGGAAATGCTTGACATGTGTTGGCCACTGTGCAGCCAGCTGGAAAAACTTCACATCGTTCCACTCCACGCCATCAATGCAAACTGTAAGGGAGACAATAGGAAGACAATCTCAGGCTGGGAGCAATGATGGCAGGAGCAAGGATTTTGGGTACTTGATAATGAGAGCCAGGCTGGAGCTCAGGGAGAAAAATCTTAACATCTTGGAGTTGGAAGGGACTGCAATGCCCACGATGTAATCCCTTGCTGTGCAGGAATACAGAATACAACATTCCCGAAAGATTTTTTTTTCATGTCAGGAGCAACTTGAGAAAATGCAAGTTGCTTCTGGTGTGAAAGAACTGGCTGTCTGCAAAGACATTGTCCAAGGGACGGCCGGATGTTTTACCATCCTTTGGGAGGCTTCTCTCATGTACCTGCATGGGAAGCTGGAACTGGACAGATGGGAGCTCACCGAACTCTCCGGATTAGAACCGCCAACCTGTTGGTCAGCAGTCCTGCCGGCACAAGGGTTTAACCCATTGTGCCACTGGGGCTCCTTCCTAAAAGATGCCCATCAACTGCTATTTAGAGACTCAAAAGAAGAAGAGTCCACACACCTGCATCCCACAAGGTAAAGTGAGGCGAGAGTCAGACTTCATGAAAAGAAGTTGTTTGTGGAAGTTACTCAAGTGACTGTATTCAAGGGAAAACCAAACAATTTGGTACTGCAGGGATGGAAACTTCCCTCAGCATTGACTAGGCTGGATGGAAGTTACAGTTCAAAACATCAGGAGGTCCATGCACCTTCACTGTAGAAAAGGGGGTAGGGGCAACTTCAGTGGGTCAAGAAGCCAAGTCCCACTTGAGTTGCTGTGAGTTTTCTGGGTTGTATGCCTATGTTCCAGAAGCATTCTCTCCTGACATTTCGCCCACATCTATGGCTGGCATCCTCAGAGGTTGTGAGGTTTTGGGGATGGTTCTGCCAGAACAGGCTCTATCCAGCTCTGTTAGGGAAACAGGAAATCAACTACTACAAGGCTCCACACCTGGTTAGGGTGAAAACTGGCCAACCTACCACGCAGCATGGTGTTTTGATGTTTGGCTGTGCAGATCAGGCGTGTGATGCCCTCAATCACTTGGCTTTTCGGCTCTAAGTCCTTTTCTTTCGGTTTCTTACTCAGGAACATCACTGTCAAAGATAACAATGAGAGAGTCAAAAAGAAGCAAATCCGGTCTGTAAATTGGGTCAGAGGCTTAAAAGCCTTAAAAGCACTAGATCCCATCTGATCTTGGAAACTAAGCAGGGTCAGTCCTTGTTGGTGCTTGCATGGGAGACTGTCAATGAATAACAGGTGTTGAAGGCTATATTTCAGAGGAGAGAACTGGCAAAACTATCTCTGTGCCTTCCTTGCTTGAAAAAACCTTATGAAAGTCATAGGGTTTCAAATAGCCAATGTGAAGTCACAAATGTATAAACCGAGTCAGTGCTGGGATGGATTCTGCCCCATTCCTTAGAGGGTTTGTTGGATGCCCAGCCATTAGCAAAGCTGACAGAGACCACCAATGCTGCTAGCAGTTACCTTTCTTGTTCTTCTCCTTGGTGACCACAGTCATGGCCATGGTGCTGGGTGGGGTCAGCTCCCCGGGGCCTGGGATGCGGCTGACCTGCAGGGAGCGGAAATTGCTCTTCAGGGTGTTCTTGATGCCTGTTTCCCGCTTCTCGGCCTCTTTTTTCTTCTCTGGCCCCTGAGCAGTCCAATAGTCTACTTGCAGACCCATCACCTCCACACCAGGACTCAAATTTCTGGGAGGAAGCAAAAGATGAGTTGTAATAAAAACTTTGTAGATCAAGCAAAGCATTCAGAAGAATCCTGTAAAGTAGCTTTACAATTCCAATCCATAAGGTGCGTTTTTTGAATTGATCTCTAGACACAGATGAATAGGTCAGTCTTTTAAACCTTTGATGAAAAGATATAACCCCGCAAATGCTACCAATACATAACTGACACATCATAACAAGATTTCCCAAAACAGGAAATCAGGCTTCATAGAAGCTGGGTAGCATTCCACTGAGGACATGCCAATGTACGTTCAGCTTAGTCTCTTTTTGGAATATATGGAGGTATGTTCTGTCCCATCAAAAACACCTCTCCAGGAGGAGAGGCCATTGGTCAGTGGCCTTTGGGTGTATTCAGTCAAACCAATTCCCAAACCATGTGACATTGTTTAGTCCACATTTAAGTATCTTTTTTGTGAGAATGTCATGGTGAACCTTGTCAAAGGCCTTACTAAAGTCAAGATATGCTACATAGCAAAACTTCATCTACCAAGCTTGTAACTCTATCAAAAAGGGTATAAGGTTTGCCTGGTATGACTTGTTTTGAGAAGTCCGTGAGTATGGCATTCCTTTCTAAGTGCTTACAGATTGTCTGTTTAATGATCTGCTCCAGAATCATTGCTGGTATTGATGCCAAGCTGATTGGGCAGTCACTGTTTGGGTCTTTCTGCTTTGAAGATGGGGACATTAGTTGTCTCCTTAGTCATTTTCTGTATGTTGCACCAGAGATTTCTCATGGGTATTGTAGTTCAACCTTTGATTGTGCCTACACCTGATCTCTCTGGGGATTCTGGGTCTGCAAGCCAGCAGGAGAGCCAGCAAGAGATTTTAAGCCCTGAAAATGAGCGCTCTGTGTCTGAAGGCCACATTCCTGAAAGTCAGTATGCTAGAGAAGCAAGGTCAGGAATAGGTCTGAGCTAAGAATGAAAATGAAAGTCCAGGTGGACAGACTAATGAGCAGTTCGATAGGAGATTTATGTTCTGTCAACATACAGCTTCCCAGGATGGTTCATGAAGGTCAAGATGCCCATTAGCCAAGAAGTCCTTATCAGTTTCCCAGGGGAGAAGGCATGATTTTCTCTCTATATTAGCTAGCCCAGTAGATGGGTCCATTAACTGAGGCAACATTGGTGCTTGAGTATATATCTATTGTCAAGTCAAGGGATTTCTGGTTTCATTTTCCCTGTTTCCTTTTGTTCACATCTCATGATTCCAAGTTTTGAGGACTGTTTCTGAATCTCATGTTTTGGATTGATCCTGCTTTTCTATTCCTGTACTTTGATTTCTTGGTCTTATTCATTATATTTGGACTTTGGTTTTTTATACTCTTTTGCTGAATTGCTTCTCATATATATTCTTCAATAAATTACTGTGCCATTTTAACTTGGACTGGAGTGTGTGTTCAGTACAGAGATGGTTTCCAGCCTTGAGTGCAAGAATGGGAGCAGATGGGAATGTCAGGCAGCTATTTCTTCAATGATAAAGGAATGGAAACTTGGCAATCTCAGTGGCTGTTTAATAGTAAGGGGGTTGAAGGGTGAGGGGTGGTGACACCAAAATCCACTAGATAGCAAAACTGTATGCAATTATTGTATAGGACTCCAGCAAATGTTCATTTTGCTTTTGTTTCTATTGAAGGATTATTTAATCCGAGAAGGGCATTCAAATGCCCTGTACTGAGTCTATGGGTGAAAACAGAAGGTGACATACATTTTGTCAACTGGCTATATAGTACAAAAGAGCCAGCTGTAATCCTTTATCTCTGCTGCTCTCTTCTTACACAGTGAACGTAGCTTTATCCAAATGGCCCTTCTCCCACCTGAGCTTTAATCACTGAGGACATTTCTATACTGCATTAAAAAAAAATCCCAATGCAGTTTACAATATTGAAATGTTAAAAATCCATAATATGCCATAAAACCAAGTAATAAAATAATAAAACAGCTATAAAACATCAAGATCAGTCATTAAAATCATCAACTGTGTCAAAGACTGATCTGGTCTTGCCTAATCTGGTGTAATAAACCACAAACCCACTGGCACTGCCCATCTGTTAATACCCCAACTGTGTGGCACTGATACTGGGGCTATATTTGCTGTTTGAAGTTAAGGACAAGACTGTCTCCTCTCCTAAAATCACATAAAGAAACTGCTGGGATGTCAGTTGAAATATATTTCAGCACTAGCTATGGGACAATGCCCATCACAGCCAATGCACAAGTTGAGAAGAACACAAGCCAAGAAGCCAGAAAGCCCAAGGGCAAGAGCAGGAAGACTGCCATGATGCCTCCAGTGTTAGCTTCGCTTTGATAGGACTGGCCCCAACTGGGTCGGCTGGAACGTGCTTACCCGGCCCCTGAGAGCCCACTGCTGACAGATGGGGAAGGCGGAGGGGTGCCCACTGCCTCCTTGGTATAGGGAACACTTCCACCAGATGGAGAGGAAGAGCTCAGCAGTGAGGTGGTGCAGATGGTAGCATCATCAGAATCAACTATGGAAAGAAAAGGGAGAAGAAAAGTCTGATTATAAGGAACAAATTCTTGATTCCTTGCCTGAATCCTTGGCAGCAGAACTAATATAAGGGAGTGCCCCATGCCTGGTGGCCCTGAGGCCATGTTGGCTACTAGTAACTGCTTGACCTTGGCTTTTCCATACTGTTATGCAAAGGAAGCACACTGGAGAGGGGCATCCACTCTTTGCCAAGAAAGGCAGGAGTGTTGTCTTCTGGCTCTTCCACAAAATGACTTGTTTGGAAAAGTTTTCAGGGCTTTATAGGCTAAAGCCAGCACTTTGAATTGTGCTTGGTAGCAAACTGGCAACCAGTGGAGCTGACATAATATTATTACTATTATTATTAGTTATTTTAGTAGCAATTGCTCACTTCTCCTCACAGCTTGTGGTGAGGCACAACATTATCACAAGCATTTCCAAAACCTAGTAGTTCATCTTTTAATGTCAATTGACCCATTACTTCCTCAGCAACAGAAAATGGCTAAAACCCCTGAAGTGAAAAAAGGAAAGTAGACTTCCCATTCACTTCCACCTAATTTCTGGTGAACAAATGCTATGGTGTGGTCCACCATGTGAATCATGAGTCCCCAGAAGTTGGCTGCTAATTAGTGCATATCCAAAATTTGGCCATTTCTTCCCCAAACTGGATGACAATTCATGCCACCTGTCCACGTGATTTCCTCATCCATTGTTAAAATATTTGCAACCCTCTATTTTGCCACAAATGTGTTCTGTTGCCTGTGTCCCTTTGTTTGCTGGCAACTCCACCAGGAAAAGAAATGTCCATGGATTGGCATTTCCTCATTGTGTCCTATTCATTTTTACCTCCTCTGATAAAATAATGTGTATTATCAAGCATACTTGTTCCTCCAGTTAAGTATTCTCAGTTAATGTCAACATGTATCATCCAGTACCACATGTGTGTTCCTTTACTGCAGTGGTTCTCAATCTGTGGGTCCCCAGATGTTTTGGCCCACCACTACCAGAAATCCTAACAACTGGTAAGCTGGCTGGGATGTCTGGGAGTTGTAGGCCAAAACACCTGGGGACCCACAGGTTGAGAACCACTGCTTTACTAGATCCACGTGGTAACTTCCCAACTGTCAATATTACCAAGTTGGAGTGGTAGGGTCATTGTAGAATGTCACCAACATCCATGCTTGTCTTTTACAAGGTTTACATTGTTTACTGACACAAAGCAAGGGCTCAGGGTGACACTCAGTAATATTCCAAGAGCCTCTTTGGGGCATTTTCAAGTATGGAAAGTTAGCTTAGTCAAGAAGTGGGCATCTACCAAGACAGCTTGCACCTACCTCATTTCCAACCTGCACAGGGACACCACGTACCATTTTTGTTTGTTAGCCAATGAGGGTACAATTAAGACCTAAACCAAAATGGGAAAGTCCCGTGGCTTTCAAAATCATGAAAGTACATACATGGTTTTGGGAACACCATGTATAGTTTGTAGGCCATATGATTTTTCAGCTCTGGCCTACTCTAAATCAGGAACAATTACATACAGTTCTCCACCTCTCCACAAAAGTCAGCATTGATACTGAAATAAAACACCACATGAGCTCTGTGAGTGCAGCATTTTTCCAAATGAAGCAGAGAGTGTTTAAAGATTGGGACATCCGTAGGGAGACCAAGGGGCTTGTTTATAAAGCTATTGTCCTCCCAACCCTGTTATATGCCTGTGAAACGTGGACTGTCTACAGACATGACACTCAATTTCTGGAACGATTCCATCAGCACTGCCTCCTAAAAATCCTGCAAATCTCTTGGGAAGACAGGCAGACACATGTCAGCGTGCTGGAAGAAGCAAACACCACCAGCATTGAAGCGATGCTCCTACGCCATCAACTCCGCTGGACCGTCCACATTGTCCAAATGCCTGATCAATGTCTTTCAAAGCAGTTACGACACTCCCAACTCAAGAATGGGAAATATAATGTTGATGGACAGGAAAAGAGATTTAAAGATGGGCTTAAAGCCAACTTTACAAACTGTGGCATAGACACTGAGAACTGGCCCTTGAGTGCTCTAACTGGAGGTCAGCTGTGACTAGGAGTGCTCCAGAATTCGAAGAGGCACGAATGGAGGGTGGAAGGGAGAAATTTGCTAAGAGGAAGGTGCATTAAGCCAACCCTGACCGGGACTGCCTTCCATTTGGAAACTGATATCTTCACTGTGGTAGAACATGCGGATCAAGAATAGGGCTCCACAGCCATCTACGGACCCACCGCCAAGACACTACACTTGGAGGACCATCATCTTCAGGCTACGAGGGATCACCTAAGTAATTAAGTACGTAAACACATGAGAGGTTCTTATTGTTTGGCTTTGATCCTGCTTCATTTGGTCCTGGAACTTACCCAAGATCTGTTACTAATTGCAATTTGGCCTGAAAAAGTTTGCCCACCCCTGGCTTAGTTTGGGAAGAGTCATCTTTTCCCTGCCCCAGATCCTACTGGAAGCCTAGACTTTGATTCACGGCAAGTCCTTGGAAGATCAGAGCCAGGCCTTGGAGGCTTCAGGCGTCAACTCTGTTGCTGCCTGATTCTTACCTGAAGTGTTGAAAGACTGCTCCACAAGGCCCACCTTCACCACCTGCCAAAGTACAAAGGAAAGGAAAATACTCACTCAGCAATACAAGAGCTGCTGACAGCACATTTCCACCCAGCCACCTCAAGTCACACCTAGTACCTGTTCCAAATAGCATTTTTAACACTTCATATTTTCCTCTTTAAACTGCTCAACTTTCTGCCAGGAAACTTCCTTTGGGATGGAGTCCAAAAATTAACTTTTCCAAACTGCGAGGTGATCGTGGTAAAAGGAAGGGATTCAGGTTTCACTTGAAGTTATAAGCTTATAATTTATTGATATACCCCTAACATTAAGGAATTGGCAATTTGGAGTCACAGGATGGCTGAGGCATGGAAAACCTTAGACCCTGGAGCCAACTTTCCAACTTTCCTGGAGTTCCAATGTGGCCCTCTTGGGTTATTAAAAAAGCCACAACCTCCTTCCCTGTGACACTATTGTTGAGAGCTCTTCCTAACCTTTCTGCAGCTTTTCTCCATTCTCAAAAGTTAAAATGTGCTTCCTAAGATTTAGCTGCTGGCAGTAAGACCTTTAAAGCTCAAATAAATTGGTATTTGGGTCCCACCATGCGCTCTTCCAAATTTCTATAGTAATTTATTGTCAAAGGCTTTCATGGCCTGGATTTGCTAGTTCTTCACATCCAGTCATTCAGTGTCAGCTTCCCTTTTCCATATTTAAAGGAAGCTGTTTGTAGGAAATATTTATTTATTTATTTATTGCATTTCTATCCCACTCTCTTTTACCCAAGGGGGACTCAGAATGGATAACAATTTGACAAAATTCAATGCCGCAATACATAACATAAACATATAAATATGAATTAAAACCATTAAAACATGAAGCTTGAAAAACACCATAGCATAAAATATATTAAACATTGCACCAGTCATCATTTAGCTGCTTCATTCATGTCTGTATCGTGATAGTTGTACTGTAATTCTGTCACTCGCCACATGCCTGCTTGCACAGCCAGGTTTTAAGTTTTTTCGTTAAGGCCAGGAGGGAGGGAGCTGATCTAGGCTCACTGGAGAGAGGGTTCTACAGCCAAGGGGCCACCACTGAGAAGGCCCTGCCTCTAGTCCCTACCAATCACACCCGCAAAGGTGGTGGGACCGAGGGCAGAACTTCCCTGACAGATCATAATGCTCAAACTGGTTCACAAAGACAGATACGTTTGGACAGATAAGCTGTGCCAGAACCATTTAGGGTTTTATAGGCTAGAGCCAGGGCTTTGAATTGATCTCAGTAGCAGACGGGCAGCCAGTAGAACTGATGTAACAGGGGGATTGTGTGCTTCCTGTATGTCGCTCCAGTAAGGAACCTGGCTGCTGCCCATTGGACTACTTGAAGCTTCCAAACAGTCTTCAAAGGCAACCCCACGTACTGCGCATTGCAGTAGTCTATTCGAGATGGGACGAGAGCGTGGACCATCGTGGCCAAGTCTAACTTCCCAAAGTATGGGCTTAACTGGAGTACAAGTTCTAATTGTCCAAATGCTCCCCTGGCCACCGCCGAAACCTGGGGTTCCAGGCTCAGCGATGAATCCAGGAGAATGTATTGTCGAAGGCCTTCATGGCTGGAATCACTAGGTTGTTGTAGGTTTTTGGGGCTATATGGCCATGTTCTAGAAGCATTTTCTCGTGATGTTTCACCTGCATCTATGGCAAGCATCCTCAGAGGTTATGCGGACCTCCCAACCTCTGAAGGTGCTTACCATAGGCAGGCAAAACATCAGGGGAGAATGCTTCTAGAACATGGCCATATAGCTCGAACTACCTACAACAACCCAATCCAGGAGAACTCCCAAGGTGAAAACCTGTGTCTTCAAGGGGAGTGTAACCCTGTCCAGCAAAAGCTGTAATCCTATCTCCTGTTTGGTCATGCTTCTTTGATCCATACCACGTATCCCTCTAACTCTCACAATTTTGCATTTCCCATTAGGTAAAGGTAAAGATTTCCCCTTGACATTAAGTCTAGCCGTGTCCGACTCTGGAGAGTGGTGCTCATCTTCATTTCTAAGCCGTAGACACCTCCAAGGTCATACGGCCACCATGACTGCATTGAGCGCCACTACTTTCCCGCCAGAGCAGTACCTATTGATCATGCATTGGCATGTTTTCGAACTGCAAGGTTGGCAGAAGTTGGGGCTGACAGTGGGAGCTCACCCCGCTCTCCGGATTCCAACCACCAAACTTTCAGTCAGCAAGTTCAGCAGCTCAGCGGTTTAACCCACTGTGTCATCAAGGGCTCCTATATTTCCCATTAGACTTGGGCAAAAACAAACAGTTGCAGCCCCTTCTAGCTTGTTGTTTTCTTCCTTATTAAAAACTTTTGACATCTGACCTACAATCGTGACATTGCTTATTCACATTTGTTCCACATTTAATCTGTAAAATGGTGGAGGGTAAGGCACTAGAACTCCTTCCAAGTTTTTTTTAAAACTAAGGACATGATTTGTTGAGATGATCCTATATTTTAAAAAGCAATTTTTCTCCTCAGCGAATTCTTAATTTTGTCTTGAGTGAAAAAATGCAACTTCAGTGATCCATGTTAATGGCAGTGTACTGTAACACAATCAGTTATAAAGAGAGACAGAGACAGGAAGGAAAGGAGATTTTTTTTTTTTGTTCCAGTATGTCCCTGAATTTAAAAGAAACCCACTCAAGGGTGAGAATAACATTTTCACAGTAGGTACTAGGCATGGGCAATCCATGGTTCTAAATGGTTTTAAAGTACTTACAAAACTAGGGGGCGCTGGTGCTTTGCTTCTAAAGTGTTGTTAAAGTTCTGGTGGTGAAATTTTCAGAACTCTAACAAAACTTTCAAATTGTCGTTATAAATGGCAATTCCTAATTGGTTGTCATAAAAATAGCCAATAATGAAATAATAATGAAATATTGAAAGTTTTGTTAAGAGTTCTGAAAAAACAAAACTAGGGGGCGCTGGTGCTATGCTTCTAAAGTGTTGCTAATGTTCTAGTGATGAAAATTTCAAAACTCTAACAAAACTTTCAAATTGTCATTATAAATGGTAATTCCTAATTGGTTGTCATAAAAATAGCCAATAATGAAATAATAATGAAATATTGAAAGTTTTGTTAGAGTTCTGAAATTTTCATCACTAGAACATTAGCAACACTTTAGAAGCATAGCACCAGCGCTCCCTAGTTTTGTAAGTACTTTAGAACCATGGATTGCCCATGCCTAGTAGGTACATGTAATTCTCAGAAAACAATCCTGGACAATATAAATATGTGATTTCTGTGTGCCTCCAAGTTGTTTCCAATTTATAGTGACTCCAAGGTGACCCTATCATGGGTTTTAGTTGACAAGCTTTGTTAAGAGATTTGCCTCCGCCTTCCTTTCAAGCTACCTAGTGGGTGAACAAGGATTCAAACTCTGGTCTTCAGAGTCAGTCCATATTGAGGAGGGGGCAAGATTGTTTCTGCTGTTTTGGAGCCTAGAATATGGAGCTAAACATTCAAACTGCAGGAGAAAGATTCCACCTAAACTGCAGGAAGAGCTGTCTGGCTCCCTTCGAGGATAGTGAGGTCTCCTTCTCTGGAGGTTTTAAAGCAGAGGCTGGATCACCATCTGTCAGGAGAGTTGTGATTGTGTCTATGTGACACTATGTGATTGTGGGCGGGATATAGCTCAGCTGGTAAATCACCACCAGCAGCAGTAAGATCTACCAACCAAAAAGTTGCCAGTTCAAAGCCCAGGTCGGTGTGAGCACCCAACTGTCAGCCCAGCTCCCTATTTACCTAAGCAGTTCAAAAACAGCTTAGAGCTGTAAGTAGAAAAATTAGGTACCACTAAAAAGTGGGAGAGGTATTTTACAACACCACATGAACAAAAGGAAAGAGGAAGTCCTGATGGCTCTTTGTCAAGAGGATGGAGTGACAGCATTCCCTCTGTGGCTGGATTTGAGCACAACCTTCAAGGTGCCGAAAAGATGGATGTCGACACAACATATATCCTTTTTGTCTGTTTGTCCTTGTCTGTCCAAATGGCATGTATGTGTCCTGTGAAACACCCGGAGTCCCCTTGAGGAGATAGGATGGGATATAAATAAAGTGTTGTTGTTGTTGTTGTTGTTGTTCCTGCATGGCAGATTGGGGTTGGCCTGGATGGTCCTTGTGGCCTCTTCCAACTCTATGATTCCATAAAATAACACAACCTTTGCAAACTTCCCATTATATTTCCCCTTTGAGTGTTTTCCCATTTTGCCTTTGGTCTCATCCACTACTGGAAAGTGTCCCACATGACCTACTCCGAAATACAGCTCTTGGCCTGGAAGAGATTCCTCATCGCCAAGGCTATACACCAAAACATTGAAGGCTCCTTAGAATAAATCCAACCCCCAAGCTACCTTTCATTTCTCCAGCTGGATTTTAGAGCCCAGTTTCTGTCTGTCACAACAACCCCAAGCAACACTCACCCCAACAAACGGCACAAATTTCTGGCAGGAGTCCTCATCTGGGCTGCAAAGGGGAACAGAGGCAATTATAAATGGTTAAGTCCCCCATCTTCAAGGGCAATGGTGAAGTGTAGTTGTGTGTGACCCTGCCCCAGATTTCCTTCCCATCTCCCACAGCCTTCCGAATTGCAGGGACATATAGCTCTGCTCCCCCCGAGATGCTATAATGGGGCCCAAGCAAGAAGAGAACAAACAAAGAGAGGCAGGCTTTAGTCATACTGTTATTACAGTTTGCTCAGTCCAAGACTTATTGTCAGGCAACCCCAACAGACATCCGACAGTGTAAACAAGCAGATATCACAGAGCCAAGCAACAGTGTGTTGTCCTGGGGATGGGCAGGAGGATGGGACAAGGAGGGGAAGGGGAGACGCGGGATTCCTCTTCCTCACGGCACACAGCGACACCCCCTACCCGACCCCAAATGCTGACCACACTGAATAGGAAAGAATAGGGAAAGGAAGGGCAAATGCAGAAGAGGCCACATGGAAAGAACGGCTTTCCTTGCCCCGCCATTTCCGCAGCGGGGAATTCACACATGCAACCAAGAGCAGCCAGCAGCCCTGGCCTCACATGAGGGCAAAGATGGAAGGAAGGGGCGCAGGGAAGGAGACCTGTCCCGTTCCCCGGACAAAGAGAGGACGCGGGCGGACACAGAGAAGGGAAGGCAACACTGCAGCAAGCCATAGTCCAATACCTGATATAAAAATCAAAATAGAGGCTTCTTTTCCTTGAATGCCCAACACAAAAACAAAAACCAAGAAGAGGGAGAGGCGTAAGCACTGCTGGAACATAAGTGGTCAAGACATGGGCTCTAGGAGTTTCCACCTCACCCAACACAGCTGGGGCAACCAACACTCACACCTCCTTTGCCCAACTTTGGAAGCCTTACTTTTGGGGGACTAAGCCTTCAGAATTGTCCATCCAGCATGGCCACTGGTTGCGCCAAGTGAAAGATTCTGGGGGTTGATGTCACACTTCCATGATCTGTATCCTTTCACCAACATGGGAGAAGGAGAGGGGCTATAGACATGCCTGGCTTGGGATGACATGATTCTTGCGATGGGATTATCCTGCCCCCAGAACTCAGCTAGCATGGTGTAGGCATGTGCTCCAGAACCCATCAGGCAACCTAAAGCTAGAATTCATTTCTATATCTTTTGATACAATGTCCACTAATGAAGGTTGTTGTGGTTGCTTATAGGATGACTACGATGGCAGAATGTGGGGAGAAAGAGAGAGAGTGTGAATCAAACTGACGAGTTTGGGACTGAGAACACATAACAGGAGTGTGTTATAAAGCCTCTTAAGTAGTGGATTGTCTGTGAGTGTTTTCGCGTTTATAGAAAATCGCTCCAGCTTATTGTAGTACCTAAATGGATTCAATTGGAATGCTTCTAAAAAATAAGCACCTTCTTCAGTTGTCTTGTCACTTCTGCATCCCTGGCAGAAGGCCCTTTTGCTGAAGAATAGCACACAGTTGGTTAGCAACTATGCCAACACCTGGCGCTGCCTCCTTGCTGTTTTGTTTTCACATTATACTATGCCAATACCTTGGCAGGCTCTGAGGTCTTTCTTCCCACATGTACAGCAATGCACAAAATCTTTTCCGTTCAATGCCAAGGATCAACAGGCTGAGAGCGGAGCAGTGAAGTGGCTATCAGCTTTTCTACTTTCAAGGCATCCTTTGCACCTCAACAGAGTCCCTAAATACCTGCCCTGGATCTCTTCCACTTTCCAGGGCATTCCAGGATCAGCATTTGGAAAAGTTCCTTTTTTAGACTTTCCACTCCCAGAATCCCCAAGCCAATTCTGCCAGGGATGCAGAGGGCAGTTGCTAAAGAAATAATAATAAAGGCTCT